ATTTACGGATAGCAAGAATAGCAACACAATTGCAACCAACAAATGTTAACATAGCCATTGTATTTGTACTAGATAGCTAGTATTGTTGTTTTTCGGCTTGTACAAGTAACGCAAAATTTTGTTGAACAAATTTTTGAAATTTTTTTCCCGATTGGACAGGTTTAGATGCATTATTAGGAACAATTCTTCACGCTTATTACGAATTTGCCATTTTTTCTTAGAAAACCTACATTCAGGCATCAAAATCGTATTTTGAGTTTCCTAACCAACATTTTTTTCAAAAAAATGTTGAGTGATACACTGTTCGATGCAGAATTTAATTCTCTACAAAACAGCCTATTTATTTAGATGTACAGAAAAGATTAATATTTCTGAACACGTTAAGTGTCTCAAGATTGATCGAGGAAAATCTCTGTAATAATGATCTACTGATGTTTTGCATTTTTTATCTGAGTAAAAATAGTTTAGAGAAAATCTTGCTCATTGCTTAAAACTTCGTTTGATGCTCTACAAAACTGGTGTTAGAAGTACTTCATTGGGAGACATACTTTCTCAAGAAATTAGAATTTTAACAGCAGCACTGGAACATAAGGATGTTTCATGTAACAGCGCTATGCATTGATAAAATCTTTTTAAAAGTCTGAGACTCCCGTCAAAAAAACTCTTCATTTCAGCATAAATAGAGTGCGATAATCTATGTTGAAGGGCGTTTGAATGGACTTTTTAGCTCTGAAACCTTTCGAAATAATTGAAAAAAAATCGTGTCAAAACTGTAACAGCCTTATGTTGGAACAAGCCGTTTCAGAGAATATGTTTTGCCAATCGATAATACTTTCTTTCATATAAACTGAAAACACAATAATCATGAACAATGATAACCTTTCAAATTGTATAGAACCTTGCGGATTTCTTAAAATCTTTTTCTTGTTTTATATTCTAACAGCAAGTATAACTCTAGCGATTCTATATTGTGCTTGTTAAGATAAATATGTACTACAAATGTTTGCTACAAAAATAATGTCTTTTTTTCTATAAAAAAATGCTTTATGTTGTCTTGGTCAAAATGTTGGATTATTCGTTTCTATGATTGATAAACTGCTTGTTCGATGAATACCAAAGAGTTATCTCAAGATGTCAACCAGATTTGATTCTGCTAAACAATAATTTACTTACAATTAGAAAGCAAAGGATTATAATGACGTCCATACCATTGATACACATGTGTTAGAAGCTACATCCAATCCTAATTATCGTCAAGAACTCGATAGAAAGCATAATCAAGAGCAACACTCAGTAGCAATGATGTGCAAACAACAAGTTCTAAGTGAAACAATGCATAATAGTAGTATCTGACTGAAGTCTTGACGTACCAAATAAATTATCGATTCCATAAAATCATAGTAGCAATGCATTGACAAGTAACACTTGACCCAACATATAATTAATTACTTCAATAATTTTCATTTAACAATCGATAGGCAACGATCAATGCGGCTCGTACATTAAGATGACTGGCTGAGACGAGCCAAAACACATAGACAAGACATATAAAGTAAGAATTGAATGCATGACAGATATAGGCGAGGTATTCATTATTTTTTTTAATTTCACAACAAGTTCTAAAGAATATAAAAGAACAAGGCGGGATTTATTCGCATACTAATCATATACACAGAGGTGCTATTTGCAGAAAATCATTATTATTGTTGCTGGCATTCAATTTTGAATAAGTATTAGTGGTAATTGTATCATTTGTATTCGACCTTCTCCCGAAGGACATTGGCAATTCTAATGAAACTTAAAACTCGTGCAAAGTTTTCTCTTTTAAGTAATATATCATTTATTTTTGCTATGTTCGTCAATTGAAGATGAGTCATCTTCATGCGAGAGTTTTCTCTTCTAACAGATACTCAAGAGTGTATTCTATATCTAAATGCATTGAATTTGTTTATTTCGGGTTTCGGCAATCGACTAGGTAATATCATGTAATACACACAGAAAGACGATATTCAGTATTTTACTAGTGTGCTTATTTGATCTTGCTCGTCGTAGAAACATGTGAAATCTGTAGTATATTGATTAGTCATCTCTTTTACCTTATGATGTGCAAAAATAGATTCCATTTGAAACTTCTTTCCGTGTTGAATGGCGGCAACAGAAAGCAAATGGAATGAATCATTACTGAACTGCCGTTAAGAATGTCGTCGCTGATGAAAAAGAAAATAATACAAACTTTTTTGGTCTTTTTTTCTTTGAGAGCTCGTGTCTCTATTGGTTTACTACATTGCTGACAGAAAATATTTATGTTTCTTTGTATTTGACAGTTAAGCGCTCTCTGTTCTTTTTAATACAAAAAAAAAGAACTATAGAACGATGAAAACCAACAACCAAACTATTCCACAATTATAGTCATCGATCGATCATCACTTGGGTGAGAATACAAGAAAAATTTTATGTCGTGTAAAGTAGTTTCTACATCGATCCTTGACGAGGGTTGGGCAACTTTGCCATCGGTGACACAAATGATTATTCCAAGCGAAAAAATGACGCTCAGCACAAAAATGATCGGCTCCTGACAAAATGAGAATAATGCTATTTTTCATAGGAAAAATGGCTGAGAATAATGGAATAATGACTATGACAAGAGGAAAAATGATTTTATGTTTTAGTTATATGTATTTTTTCATCAGAGGAAAAATGAAAATCCATCAGAATAATGCTATTTTTGATAGAAAATATTGATTGAGAATAATGGAATAATGGCTATAGCAAGAGGAAAAGTGATCTTATTTTATAGTTACATATATTATTTTGGTCCGCAGAAAAATGAAAATCCATCAGAATAATGCTATTTTTCATAGGAAAAATGATTGAGAATAATGGAATAACGATCATCACAAGAGGAAAAATGATTTTATATTATAGTTATATATTATTTTTTGTTCAGCGGAAAAATGAAAATCCATCAGAATAATGCTATTTTTCATAGGAAAAA